GTTTTCCCTTCATGTAATCTTGCTTGTGCCTCTTTTTAATTAAACCAAATGATTTTTTTTAAGTAGATGTGCTCGCAAATCTTTGATTAATAAATCACAGAGAAACATAAACCAAAGAACTCAGCTGTGTGTTCTGGTTTTTGACTCAGATTGCTAAAACTGCTCTTTGCTTTAAGAAGTAGTGCATTCCCTTTCCATGACTTCCTCCCTGTTGTTTCCCAGCTTAAATCTTTGTTTTTGTCTGTCTTTCCCACCTCCCCTTCCTTAGTTTCTCTGCTGCAGACTTACTCCTCCTCTTCCTCCTCCTCCTCCTCTCTACATCTGCCCATTTATCCCAGGTGTGGCTTTCTCTTCTCTGCAGCTCTTTGGTTTTCTGCTCTGCATCACTCATCCCCTGAATCTCTCTCTATTCGGTTCTCGTTGCTGATGTCCTGCCTCTGCCAGCCCCCTTCTGGTTCTTGCTTTTGCATGTTATTTTAATTGTTCTGCATATAATATGACGAACTGTAGACTGGGGCCTGGTCCAGTGGGTTTTGTGTCTATTTATTATTAAACGTTTATTCTGTGTTCAAGCTGCAAGTTGAAAAATTAGTGTCACTAACTACAATGCAAGTGGAAGGAAAAAATTTCCCAAATAGTCTGTTGAGAATTACTTTATACTTGCCAATTGTACTTTGAATATTTCTGATATCAAACTCCAGGCTCCTTGCATCTTTCCAAGTCAAAACTCTGACTTAAGATAGTTTGTCAGAAACTAGCAGAAACTAGTTTGAAAGGAACGTGTATCTACTGTAACTTAATGCAACCTGTAAGCTGCATTTAAAAGGCAAAATCCGTCACTTGAAAAACTTATTTATCTTTTTGCCTGAAATAATAGTTCTGATTTTGGCAAATACAATCTGAAAAATCTATTTCTCCACCCTAAGTGATTATCTGATCTGAGCATTATTTCAGGAATCAATAGTGTATTTATGCCGTGACATTTAGGCCCTCACTGCTCATTCTGGCTACTTTTTTTCCATGTGTGATTCCTTCATGTTTATTTGGATGCTATGTAACCCGTGCCCTCTTTTAAGACAGTAAATGGCCCATAAAGTGCTTTCCTCAATTATCAATACTCCTGTACAGATGTGTATCAAATTCTAAATTAATGCTATGAAGCAACTCTCAATTAAAAAAAATTTAAAATATTCCACCCCTATAATTTGCATACATTAATTCAGTTGGGTATCAACATGCATATGTTTTCATTTGTACTTTAAAAAAAAAAAAAAAAAAAGATTCTCTGTGATTCTTACGTTTGTAATGTACAACCTCCTGTTCCTGTGGAATATAAATGTGATATGATGACACAGAGGCTAATTTCTTTGAAGCACTCATCAAAATGGGAATAAAGGGATGAAACGTTATTCACAAAAGGCAGATATGTGCTGAGCTTCACAAGTAAGGATTTGGTTGCAAGAACAGACTAGCCTGCTTAAAATAACCCACATCTACAGGCATGGCAACAATTAAGTGAATCAAATCACAGTTAGTGATGCTGGACACATGTTAATTACTGCCTCCTTCCTCGTATCGTATTGACCCGGTCAGCAAAGCACTTCCTTTGACCTCTGAGAGAAAAGACGACTTCAGGTCCCTTGGTTTCCTGTTCGTGTGACTTTGACTCCAGATGACGAAAACACATGATGAAACACAACCTCTCTGTTTCCTCCTCCCTTCTCTACAGTGTTGGCCCTACACTTTCTGTGTTTGTGGTTACTTTTAGTATGATATTTTCCACTGGAAGGTCTGGAGCGGTGTTGTTGTTTTCTCACACGACAAGTACAAATTTCAATGCTTTTTATTGGGAGCTTATGTGACAGACCAACACTTCGTGTCGTGTTGTACAGCGGAGAAAAAATTTGAAAACTGAATGATTTCCAGTGTTGTATTTGTTGTGCACTCTGAAATTTGACCATTGTGATACAAATTGTGATTTATCATAAAAAGAATAAAACTCCCAATGATGGTGTTTGCATAACGCTAAAGGTGTCAACATGGCAGGGTTTGTAAGTTTTTCCTGTTTCAGCTCTTTGCCCCTCTACTTAGTACCAATACGAGTTAATATCAATACAACTGGATGACTGTATGTAATTACTTTGTACTGACTAGTGCTAGTTTTACTACCTAATGTAAGTGGCAGCCTGTTTAATTTTACGGATCCTTAAATGAACAATAGTTTCTCTGATGTCATGAATTGATAGATGTATTGCAGAAAACTCAAACAAAATGTCATAATGAAATTTCAGATCCATATTGTCCATCCCTGTCAGTTGAGAAAAAGCCATTTGAAATCACATCTACAGTTTGGGACGGGTCATGTGTGGTCAAAACGCTATTTAGCAGAAAACTGAAACCGCACATGGCGATGCAAGGAAAGATTCGCACAGGAGGGACTAAATAAATGCACAGACATTTTATTTGTAAAACATAAAAAAAACAAAAAAAAACATGTCATGTCATGTCATGTTTTCAGCTTTTTTTTAATATAGCATTTTATGGTTGAAGTTTGTGGTTTTAACATGACAAAATGTGAAAAACTTCATTTATATTTCCAAGGCATAACTAAATGACCATAATCATGTCGACTTCAAGCAGTTCTCTGTTAATTGTCTCACAGTGAAACAGATCTGATTGAAAAATACCGAGCTTAACTTCAGTCATATAACGATTAGATTTCGAGGTAAACGTCCTCCTCCTTCTGATCACAAATACATAATTTAACATCTGTGCGTCACTGCAATTGTGTTCTGAGTTACTTTAAACTAAGAATAGCCTCCTCATCCAAATATCCACGGTTCACCAAAACAACTGGCCACCAGTGAGAGCAGCTCTGAGCTGGGATGCCTGGAGGTAACGTGCGACACCTCAGCAGTCTGTTTGTAAACGATGCTGGTGTCTGTAACGCTGACCTCACGTGCCTTTTGTCCAAGACTTTGGCACAGGCCTCTGCAGACCCCACACATGAGTACACAGAAACAAACAGAGGCTGCTGCCTCACCCCTCGCCTGGCCGCACTCGGCCCGGCGCTGTTTATGGGCAGGGAGCGGTTACTGCGAGGGAGCGAGCTCCGAGTCAGCAGATCTTCCCTGATCGATGGCAGCATTTGCTGTTCCCTTTCCAGTAAGAACTTTAAACCCGACGTGAAGAGAGCCGTTGGGCCACAGAGAGGCCGGGGAGCTCTGCTGTCTGCCTGTCTCGGGCCTTTAGGAGCGCTCGCTGCTTCTGTCACAGTGAAGGTCCTGCTGGGACCGACGGGGCGCTCTTTGACAGCCTCTCAGAGAGGAAGTGATGTCAATGAGGCAAAGTGTTACTTCTTTGCAATGTATTTATATGCAGATTGTCTCAGTTTATTCTTCTGTGTGACAGTGAGTAAATATTAGCTCTTTTCAATTGATGATTTCATTTATGAAGAGGAAAAAGAAAATGTCTTATTCTCACGTTCCCCAAAACGTCTGGATGTTCCCGTAGACTTTTAATAAAATGCTGTGTTAACTAAAAAGATGAATGTGAAAATGCATTTGACAACGTCAGATACTAATATAGCATTTATTAAAAAGATAATCGTTCTGACAGTCCATGATGGCGGTGGTGGTGTGATGGTCTGCTTAGCTGCTTCAGGACCTGGACGACTCGCTGTAATTGATAGAATCACAAACTGGTCTCTTCCAGAAACCAGTTTGTGACCTTTCGCTCAAGGGCAGAGGGGTCATGCAGAAGGACATCTCTGATTGGCTTAAAAAAAGGAGACTCTTCAGGCGGACCAGTTAAAGCCTGCTCTCATTTTGAATGTATAAGTGGCTCTGGAGTATCAGTCAAAAAAAAATAAAAAACATATACAGGTTGAAATTATTTATAAATGGTTAAATGTGGAAGACCTTGTTAGTGTTAATGATATGATATAGTAGTGGCATGTTGTGTTCACTTACCTCCAAACTTGAACTTGGCTTTGACGTCTGCTGGCAGTTTCTGAAGTCTGTCGGTGCCGTGGTGAGGAACGTCTAAAGACGATAAATCAGGAGGCAGCAGTGTGAACTAAACTGGTCCATCATGCTCCAAAGTCCTTCAGTCCGGTTGAATAAAAAGTATTTTTCAAAGAAAAGTGAGCCAAAATTCCTGCACAGCGATGTAAAATGCAAGTTCCCAAAGGATGACAAAACATTTCTTTGGTTTAGATTTTTACAATCGGCCATGATAAATTGGGTTGCTTTGTTTCCTTTAATTTTTGAAATCACCATCAGAAAACTGCTTTTGGAGTCATGTCAAAAAATAACAGAATACTGGGATAAAGCAAATATAAGGACATGTCGGACACTATTTGGGATGCTTTATAGACGGCATACTACAAAAAACGATAAATACTTGGCACAAAAAAAATAAAAGAAAACAAGTAAAAAAATCCATCACATGATTATGGGATGAAGAGGAACGTCCAACATTGGAGCAGTGGCTGTGCATTGAGGAATTAGATTTCCTTGATGGAAAAACTCTCATCTGAACTGAGATCGCAAAAGGGCCAAAATGGGAAAAATGAAATGGTTATAGAAACAAGGAAGACACCGCTCCCACAACTAGACAATATTGATATTAAAAAGGAACAATTGCATAAGGATGCAAATAATAATAATAATAATAATAATAATAATAATAATAATAAAAAGCTTCATAAAAAATAAGTAAGAAAACTGCTTTTGGTATTTCATCACCATGCCATTGTTTGACTTAAAATGAGTTTGATGATCATTTGAGTGGGACATATATATACAATAATTTTCATATGATGTTTTGTCTTGAGTATAACATGGCAGTGATATTACTAAGCTTAGCTCTATGACAAAAGTTCCCTAAGTCATGAATAATTTCCTGGTTTAAAGCGAGACGTCAGAAAGTTTTTCAGGACACGGATCAAATATTTGACTAACTTTCATCTCTTCTCTCTCTCTCTCTTCTCTCCACAGACATTTATAGTCCTAAACAAGGGGAAAACAATCTTCCGCTTCAGTGCCACACCCTCCTTGTACATCATAAGCCCTTTTAATCCACTTAGGCGAATAGCTATAAAGATTTTGATACATTCATATCCTTTCAAGTTACTGATGTCGTGTGCTCGGACCAAATAAAAAAAGAAATTGAAGGAGCGACATAATACGAGACTTTGAGACGTTTTTCGTGAAATGTTTTGCTCAGGAGTTTCAACTTGACCATCATTTAATGTTAAACTTCAGACTTTGTTGTCTGATTGATCAATTAAAGTCGTAATCGATCACTGAAACCGATCGCTTTCCTCATTGGCGTCTTTTATCACCGTCTCACAAAATTATTTAAGTGGCTAACTCAAATGCAATTGTCAAAGCTTTATGAGTATGTACAGTTAGTAATAAAAATTATGTTAGGTCATCGTTTCAGGGACGCTGTAATTTTTTGCCTCGACAAATGCGTCTCGTTTAAGCTGTTATTCAACATAATCTGTCCTGTTTGAGATGCTGCAGAAAATCCATCAGATTACCTTGAGGAACCTACATCTAAAATGTTTGAAATCTGCTGGGGTTGTAATTTCAGAGAAAATATGTTTTGTAAATAAACTTTAAAGTTTAAGGAACTAATGGAACTGTATAATTTCCATTGCACTCTGGATTTCTAACACTGACAGGATTTCATGTCATTTTCCATGAAAAACAGAAATATTTCTCAGGGATTCGTGACTTTTGAACAGAAGTGCGCCTTTACTGATGAGGAATGTTTTTCCACTCTTATGTAGATTTGTGTTCATTAGATAACTGGGCCTCTTAAAGCTCGAAAGGAAATTAGTTGGATTGATTCCCACATATTCAACTGCACAACGCTCAACAAATCCAATATATTAAAGGTTTATTTGTGTAAAATGATCACCTACAATACATTCCTCAATTAGAAGATGGTACCTCTTATTGATGTGACTCCTTTTCTTTCTTAATAATGAAACATCTATTCATATTCTGCTGTGACGTAAATTTGTTATTTCTCTTTCACATTTCCTCTTGAGAAGAACTTACATTGTGTCGTCTTCACTTTAAGATGTACAGGTTAACTAATGATAATAATAATTATTATTATTTGTTTTTCTAAATCACATTACCGTCTTTCTTCCCACCTTTCAAAAAGATTGAACACATCTTGCTGTTTTATGTGCGCACTGTTCGAGCTTTTCCTTAACATTTGTGTTTCCACGTTATTCAGCATGATCATCATGTGTACCATTTTGACCAACTGTATATTCATGACATTTAGTGACCCGCCAGAATGGTCCAAACAAGTAGAGTAAGTATGCAGTATACTTTTCCCCAAATTACTTGCAGATCTGCATCCTGTCGCTGCTCCTCACTCCCCACTGGACTTTCTCTCTCAGGTATACCTTCACGGGTATCTACACGTTCGAGTCGCTCACAAAAATCGTTGCCCGAGGTTTTGCCATCGACGGCTTCACGTTTCTCAGAGATCCATGGAACTGGCTGGACTTCATGGTCATTTCAATGGCGTAAGTATATGTTTATGTGATACTTGTCTTATTTACATAAAAAGCGGTGTAGCTGCGTATTAAAATGATTTAAGATAACATTACAAGAAAACTCATTAGTTGCATAAACAAGCACATAAACGCAACGTGTAAATTATCCGTGATCCGCCTTAGTAATAAAATTGCAGCAGATCTACTGAGAATAGCAGTGAAAACATTTCTTGTACTCTTAATACTTGCATATTTAAAGTGTAGCTTCAAACATGAGCAGCTGCTGCAGTGCATCCCAGGATCCTGTTGTTTCTTTTGCAGCATTAGTGGATAACTGCTCTTGTAAAGTCGCAATATAATGCCAAAGGCATATCAAAATGACTTACAGAGAAGGTGTATTATTAATAACGCCTATATACCTTAACTTAAAATGCACAGTGTCTTGCAAAAGTATAAATACCTCTTAGGTGTTTTCATATTCTGTCACTGCAGAAATAAACACCAAATGAAGATTTTAAATTATGATTTGTTTAAATGAACATTATTCAAAAAGTAATTGCCCTCTGAGCCTGGCAGGTTATTCTTTTTCTGAAATGCCTCGTTAGTGTGTGACTGATCCAAAGAGTTTGATTTTTGTCTTGTCAGTTCAAGTCTTGAGGATCATCAAAATGTTTTTTTGGTAAATGTGAGATGGGTCTGTGTCTTCTTTTTTTGGTCGACGATGGTTTTGACCTTAGAAATCAACCCATTTTTTTCTTTCTTATTTTGAATCATAAACTAACTGAGGCGTGCCAGGTCTGCATTGCTTCAGGTGATTCTCCAGGTTCTAGTTGTTGATGCGCTGTTGGAGTCATTTTATCAGGCTGGCGACTTCTCCATGTTTCCTCCCCTTGTGGTTCGTTGGACTAAAACCTTTTAAAATGATTTTTGTTTCGTACCTGTTCTTGATTTTCTTCAAATTGGGGCAGAATTTTTTTTTTTTTTTAGATTTTGTAACCCATTTCATGTTGCCAAACATGTTCTGTTTAAATGATGTTGGGTAAAACTGCGTAAATTAGTGTCCATTCAAGAGGAGATGGGCAATATGCTTCCAGTTAGTGTTGAGTTTGGATACATTTGGAAAAAAATTGAAAAGTGTTTTTTTTTTTTTTTAATTTACTTCGATTATACTTGTCTGACATTAAAATTTGTTTGATGGGACATTTAAGTGTCCCAACACTTTATCATGACACTGTATATTTCGGGTATTCTTTGATTAATTCAAAATTAATTAATTCAGAATATTACATTGTTATTGTAGTTTAATATCAAAACAGAGAAATAACTAGAATAAACTGTAGATAAAAGACAATTTAGTCGGCTTAATTGATGAGCATACATCATAAATTTGCTTATGTTCTCATCATATTACAGTTGAAGCTTTTATTAAAAAAAATGTTTTTAGGCTGGTTAAATCCCCCCTTAGCTTTTTAAGTTTAATACTTATATATTTTCTGTATATCTGGGGATTTTCTAGCTGGTGGCGTAAACTTTTGCAGAGGGGTTGTGTGGAGTAGTAGAGAGAGTCAGTGTTGTACCTACAGTATAGCAGCGATGTAAACATTAACACTGTTTTTACGTTCTTGCATAATCACACCTTGCTGTCTAAACTCCCCCCAAAAAAACATATAATCTCTGTCGTTTTATCGGCCTGATGCTCTGCTCTGAGAAGCTATCATCAAATTTCCTTCCTGTTTTCCTAACAAGAAATATGTTTTCCACTTCAAGAACAAAAACCCTGACGACTCATAAGTACTTCTCAAAATGCCACTTCACACAAACCAATCTATTGTCGTAGTCTTGACTGATTGGATGACCTTATGAATTAAATTAGATTAAATTATTTTTTCCAGGGCATTCAGTCCCGTCTCGTTAGCCATGCTTACTAAAATACTTTGCAACTTTTTTTCCTCTTCCTCTAACCTGGATAACTCCTGAGTGACTGTATCTGATCCACCTTGCAGGTATATAACAGAGTTTGTAAACCTAGGCAATGTGTCAGCTCTGCGTACGTTCAGGGTTCTGAGGGCTTTGAAAACTATTTCAGTTATTCCAGGTAAGGCAGGTGTTTGTCTTGCGGGAGGGCGACCCACGGGGCTTCATGTTAGTCGTGGTTGTGTTTCACTCCCTCCTCTTCCTCCTCCTCCTCCTCTTCCTCCTCCATCCTCCTCACACTGGGCGGACAGGTGTTCAGCCTCTGTGTCCCCTCCCGGTCTTCGGTGGTGGTGCTGGTGTCGTGTTCTTGCACAATCATTCGTGTGTGTTGTTATCGTGTGTGTTGTGTATCATAGGGTTCTGTTCTGTGTGTCATCCTACCTTGTTGCAGATATATAACAGAGTTTGTGGACCTTGGGAATGTCTCGGCGCTGAGAACGTTCAGGGTTCTCCGAGCATTGAAAACTATTTCTGTCATTCCAGGTGAGACTCCCATTTAAACACTAAGGCTGATCCTAAAATTAGATGTTTTTCTTTGTGTATCTCCTTTTTTTTTTTTTTTTCTTTTTTTTTGCAATCAAAAATGTGGAGCATTTTTGATTGGCTCAGCAGTCTGCAGGCAGTCTTGTGGGCTTACATGTTTTGTAGGATTACCCTGAGGACAAATGTACCGTCATAGTGAAAAGAGTCAATTACCGGGTTTGAACCTGATATGATCCGGTTTGTATCAGGTTCAAAAATCCAAATTAAAATGTCTAAAACCGCACAAAACACATATTTTTGCCCAAGTAGAAGTTTTTGTGAGGAAATAAGCAAACTCCAAAAACTCTAGAGATATGAAAAATATGTAAACCCTCAGAAATGAAAAAGGAATTTATTTTCTTTTCCCTATGACTGTAAAAAACTTGCATCTCTCTTAAAATGTTTGGATTGCTCCGAAGTGGAAGTGATTCTAGAAATGAACAAAACTCTGGGATTATTTGCCAGAAAAGTTTTATTGTATTTCCTTAATGTTCGATAAGTTTTTTTTTTTTAAATAAGCACATATTAGGTGAGAAATATGTGAGAGGGGGGAAATCTATCATCTGCTATTTGCACAGATTGGGTTTGTGTCCAAACTCCAACGGTACCGCCTTTTGTTGTCATGTAAACAGTTTAATCCTGTAAGACTGCCAGGCCTGTGCTGCATGAACCTCTGAAACTCGCTGTTCAAATCCAATTTGGGGGTCAATTATTTATTTTTTAATTACATTTTCATTAAGTCCATACTGAGTTATAGATTATTTTTTACAATAATCACATCATATAAATGTGTCAAATAAGCAGCATTATGCAAATCCTCCACATAATTTAGATTTGTATCGTTTCCTTGCAGTCAGAGCTTTTGTCTCACCAGATGTTGGCAATAATTCAATTACAGAACCAGCAGTTAAGGCACTGGGAATAAAAAAAACAACAACAAAGAAACAGACTGAGAGCAAAACCTCTGACTTAACATTGCAAACTGTTTGTGAAAATAGTGAAACGGCATCCGCCCATCAAGGAGTTACTTCAGTTGAATCTGAATATTTCAGGATGATGTTCTCCATGCAGACTTCTTCTTTGTTTTTTGACACATATCATATCTTCTAAAACAATTAAATCTGACAAAAATAACCTCAGTAAATAATAATAAATAATATAAAATAATTTTGATATATATATATATATATATATATATATATATATATATATATATATATATATATATATATATATAAGGTGGAAAAATGGTGCAAAAATGTGTCATTAAACAGTGGATATTCCCTCTTCAGCATCCTAAATGCTGTGCAAAGAGCACTCAGAATAAGAGAAGAAGGCGGGATAAAAGTTAGTCTTCTTTCATTTAGAATAATTTCATCATTTTGCTTAATACTATTTATACTGATGTGGCCATTTCCCTCAGCCTTGGCGTTTAAATGACCTGCATGCCTCCTCTCATTGACCCTAAACCCCAACTCTAGAGCTCCTAGAAGCTAAACCTTTGTGCATGTCTTTTCGTCATCTTCTTCATTTCTTGCTTCCGTGCGTACACCTGCATCTGTGCATCGTTTGCACTTTTTTACTATATATGTACTGTGTTTAATATGATGTGCATAATGCTTCCTGAAGTTGGTTTGGGATTTTTCCACTGATGAAGTTAAAATCGTTCCTCTTCTGTTTAAATCTTCCTCGAGTTGCCATGTCGCTCTACTCTTTTTTATTTCTTGAGATCTGTTTACACGTGTGCATATTTCTCTGATGGAAAAATCCCACAAGACTTCAGTATTTGCTGTGATAGTTTTCAAATATCTTCTTGAAAGTATTGCAATACAATATTCTGTATATACCATAAAATCTTAATTATTATGAAATAAAACATTTTAAAACTCCGAAACGCATGTTTTCATTTTCTTTTGCTCAATCTGCACTGATCAGACTTGACAATAAATTACTCCATATTGTAATTATTAGTCATGTTAAAATATTTGCAAAAATCAGAAACATGACATTAAACAAAAACAATAAAAAAAATTTTTTATTTATTGCATCCTTAATTTAGCTGCTGTTCAGATGCTCTTTATGTTAACAGCTTAATTCATTTGAACTCAGAGATCCTGCTGGTGTTCCAGCTCCGGCAGACTATTCTGTTGAAGGAGCTTATTAATTACACCGTACTTATCTTTCATTACCTTTTTTACTGCAGTTTCTTATCTGAAGTGACACTTCAGTGATGAGCTCTAATCACTGTTGAGCAGGCTAGTGGCAACGCCACAGAAGACTGAGTTTGACGAGGCTGTACTGTCACTCAGAGGCGTATGAACATTCATCATCAGCATGAATGTCACAACACTTCCTAGCATTCAATTGAGTTATAAGTTACTGTGAACTTTGACCCCTTTTAATTTGGTGTTCATTTAGACTTGTTGCTTTCCCTCTACTTTTCAGCATCATCCACAATTTTTTTAGGAAAGTGGAGTTAGGCTCATTCCAGATTTTAGTCTGTCTGTTCGTGACAGTTTTTATGTGTTTGGGATCATTTTCCTGATCCCAGAAGAACAGAAAATAGTCGTTTCTTTTTCTTACTCTCCTCCTTCCTTCATGTTTGCGTATGAATCTGTGCAATGGTGTAAATGTGTGAGGCGGCCCGTTTCCATGTTTGTGCATTTGTGCACATCTGTGTGTGTGTGCGTGTGTGTGTGTTGTTTGTGTGTGAACAGGCCTGAAGACCATTGTGGGCGCTTTGATCCAGTCTGTGAAGAAGCTGTCGGATGTGATGATCCTGACCGTCTTCTGTCTCAGCGTCTTTGCGCTGATCGGCTTGCAGCTGTTCATGGGAAACCTCCGGAACAAGTGCGTCTTCTGGCCGATCAACATGACCGAGCAGTACCTGGAGAACGGCAGCCGAGGTTTCGACTGGAACAAATACATCTATAACGACTGTGAGTATGACCCCTGACGCTCGGTTAAACTGGGGGCTCGTGCAGTCTGCATTGTCTAGCGTGAAAAGATATGTGCAAGTTTCTGTAAAAATCCATCCATTCAACTTTAGTTTTTTATTTGTGTGTTTATTACACGTTTCATATCAGCCTAACAACTGCAGAAATATTAATTCATTGGAAACTTTGTCATTAATATTTTGAAAAACTAACAGAGAAGTCTCTGAATTTGAGTTTTACAAGTTTGGAATTTTGAATAGAAAATAAATTAGACATGTTTGAGACTCCTAGTTCTGAAATTCAATATTTTTTAATCTTGCTTTTACGAAACATAAACATAAACAATGACTAATTTATCCTTTAGGCAGTGATGAGTGAAAGTGACTGTCCTGCTTTGCTTTTCTGCAGCAAATTTCTACTTCCTGCCCGGTGCTCTGGACGCTCTGCTGTGTGGAAACAGTTCAGACTCAGGGTGAGTTGCGATTTAATTTGAGCTCATGATGGATATTTTCTGTCTCTGTTCATGGAATTAGTTTAATAGTTTTTTTTTTATTGCAAAATTAATCTAAAACTTGAATAAATTATATGTCGCCTTTTGAACAATTAATCATATATTACGGTTTTATCTCTGTAAAATCGCACAAATATCTGGAGGTACACATTAGCCACACCGAGATGATGCTAAAAATAACAGTTTCATTTGAACAGTTTCTTTTAGCTACATTTGTGTGACTTCCTTTCAGACGATGTCCAGAGGGTTTCACGTGCATGAAAGCTGGAAGAAACCCGAACTATGGTTACACCAGTTTTGACAGCTTCGGGTGGGCTTTCCTCACCCTCTTTCGTCTCATGACTCAGGACTTCTGGGAAAATCTCTACATGCTGGTGAGGAGAAGTTTTCCTGATTTGTCACAAATCTTTTCTATAAAATATCTCTTCTGTGCCACTGCTTAGATCTGACAATCCGTTTCTTCCAGAGGTCACCCAATAATTAAACAGAGTTCCCCTGACAGGTCAGGCAAAGTGAGTGATTAACCAGCAAATCAATCAAGAACCTATGATAACTCTGGAGGAGCTGCAGAGAGCCATAACTCAGTTCTAACAACCTATTAAAACTACTATTAATTGTGCACCTCGTACATCTGAATCTAAATGAGAATCTGTAGCAAGACATGAAAACTGATGAGAACAGATGTTTTCCATCCAGCCTGATGGAGCTTGAACAGTTTTTTCTCACAGGTAGAAGAACAATTTTCAAATCTGGTAGGCAGTGGTTTAAACTACGTTCCTCGAGGACCAGAGTCCTGCAGCTTTTAGATGTGTCCCTTGTCCTATGGACTTGAATCAAATAGCTGAACGGCCTCGCTGCCATGCAGTCGAGCTCTGTTAATGAGCTAATATTGGAGGCAGGTGTGCCGAAGCAGAAATGGACCTAAAAGCTGCAGGACACCAGATCTAGAGGACTGGAGCTTGAGACCAGTATGGTACAGCAAACCCCACCTCAATACTTCATAAAACTCCAGTTTTATGAAATATTGAACCAACGGGACTCAATTCAAATGTACTTTTCAGGGTTTAATCTATAAAGAATAAAATAAATAAGATGATGACTCCTTTTTGCTGCGCTCTTACATTTTTGGACTATACTTTGTGTTGGTCCATAACATAAAATCATGCATCGACCTCCGTGTTTTTTTGTTTTCTCAGACTCTGCGAGCTGCAGGGAAGACCTACATGGTATTCTTTGTGCTGGTCATCTTTGTGGGCTCCTTCTACCTGGTCAATCTGATCTTGGCTGTGGTGGCCATGGCTTATGAGGAGCAGAATCAGGCCACAATGGAGGAGGCTGAGCAAAAAGAGGCCGAATTCAAAGCTATGCTGGAACAGCTCAAAAAGCAGCAGGAGGAGACGCAGGTAAGCTTCATCTTTCCTCTGAGATGCAAACATCTGATTTGTGCTCAATATGAGGCTATTTTATTTATTTTTTTCCCGCTTCAGGCTGCAGCTATGGCCACATCGGCAGGGACCGTGTCAGAGGCTGCGTTAGAGGACGTAGAAGGGGGTCACTTGTCCCGCAGCTCCTCAGAGGTCTCCAAGCTGAGCTCCAAAAGCGCCAAAGAGCGACGCAATCGCAAGAAGAAATGGCGACAGAAAGAGCAGGAGAAGGAGAAAGGAGACAGCGAGAAGGTAGTCAAGTCTGAGTCGGACGACGGCAGCAAGAAGAGCACCATCCGCTTCCCAGGAACCCGACTGGGCAGGAAGACGTCCATCATGAACCAGGTACAGTCAGAAGAGAACGTGTCGGCTTCTGCAAAGCGATCCGTTTGATGGCTTCGGGTCAGAAAACCGTTCGAGCTTTTAGTGGTTGGAAGTGTACGGCTTCAGTTCGGTCCTAAATTATTGATCCAGTCCAGTGACCTGTGAGGTTCCTCTTTAACAGGGGATATGCAGCCATTTTGCGTTGGCTGATGTTTGGTCCTAACCAGGTGGGAAAGCTGATGCATTATCTAAACATTCAGTTTGATGTGATTTTTCATTCCAATACTTTTCAGTTCTGCTGTCAGCCACTGTGCAGGCCCAAACCGAACATTTAATTTTTATTGATGGTTTGTAAGATTGAAAAATATTTTCTGAGAGACTGAATTTTAGGTTTTTATTCCCTATAAGTCCAGTAATAAAAAACACAAATATATCAATTTGCATGTAATGATGAAATAATAATACACTTGTGCTAAATAACTAAATATACATTATAGATCTTCAGATATTTTGAGGTGTGACTGTATTTTGGTCATTTTACACAAGCATTTGACCAGCTGCTTTTCTCCCATCACTAAATCTTGTATTTCATTGAGACTCTGTTCAGGTTTTTCTCTGCTAAGTAATTAAAAATGTGCTCAAAATTGAAATATTACAATTAGGAAAGCAGTGATTTTTGGTTAATTGCATAACAAAACACATGTGAGACAAAAACATGGAATAAATTACTGTTATTGTTTAAAATATTATTTATGCAGTGACAGCGTAAACTCCAGCAGTTCCTGGTTTTTATCATTTACTTTTATTTGCTTCTCGTCTCTCTGTCTGCACTCTGTTTTCTAGGTCTTTATTTTCTCATTTTTTCCAGCTGTTTTCAGCAACCTCAACACCTCCATTTCTTTTTGTTTAAATCTGTCTCTCCTCAGTCTCTGCTCAGCATCCCCGGCTCGCCCTTCATGTCGCGCCACAACAGCCGCAGCAGCATCTTCAGCTTCAAGGGCCGCTCCAAGGACATGGGCTCGGAGAACGAGTTTGCGGACGACGAGCACAGCACTGTGGAGGAGAGCGAAGACCGCCGAGGCTCGCTGTTCATACCTTACCGTCGCAACAGCTACAGCGGCTACAGCCAGGGCTCGTCCCGCATCCACCCACTGGCGCCACACTCTGGAGGGAAGAGGAACAGCACGGTGGACTGCAACGGCGTGGTGTCGCTCATCGGCCCCGGGCCTGGCAGACGGCTTCTGCCTGAGGTGAAAATAGATAAGGCAGCCACTGATGACAGTGTAAGGACGTCCATGGGACACCAATACGGTTTAGGCATGATGACGGCCCTGATCTCTGCAGCTCCTTCTTTCGAAGCCCAGACCCCCCCCCCCCACCCCTTGTTGCTCTGTTTCCTGAACTCTAAGCTCTCCTTTCTCCTCCTTTTATAATCAGATTCTGTTTAAAAACGTCACCCTGCAGAGCCACTTACTCTTTCTGATTGATTTAATGCTTTTTTTTTTAATGACTAACAAGCAGAAACATATCTGCAAACTCCTTTTCTCACCAAACTAATGAACTAGTCAACAAAATTCACAAAAATGAACATTTCTTGCCGAGAAACTTTCCCTTCATGTCTCTACTTAGAAATCCCATTCTTGAGCTTTTATCCTTCTTCTCATCAACCCTCTTCTCTCCATATCTGTCTTTCTCTTTCATTCACCTCCTCCTTCTCTCCTGTCTTCATCTATTCTCCGTTCCTAACCCTGGATGGTGCAACAAACAAGCTTGAAACAGTTTTTCTGGAACAATATTTCTCTCCTTGCAGCACGCATGGTAGACCTCCTCTTCTCTCAGCCAGCCAACCTGCTCTTACCTGTTTACCTCTTTTGAATTTTAGCATGGTGTAGATTTTAACGATGTCTTGAGATCCCCTCTGTTGACATGACGTGCATGCCACTGCATGCATTTCAATTTTACAAAGACATTAGGACGAGTTCAACGTAATCTGCAGATTTGATGTGAGGATCTAGGCTGTGTTTTCTTTATTTGGTCTGTTCAGTGGAACACGGGTATCATTTAGTGGCTGAGGCAGCTCAGAAGCATTGCTTTCAATTTCTGTGTACATCTCATGTTTTTCTAAATGATCATTCATGTTTTCTCTGAGCACAGACTACAGATGTGGAGATTAAGAAGAAACACTCCGGCTCTCTCATGATTTCTGTGGATCAGCTCAACTCCTCCTTCAAAGGAAAGGACCGTGCCAACAGTCAGATGAGCGTGGTCACCAACACACTCATAGAAGGTGCGCTTATGTCACAAAAAACTTATAATGCTTTCACAGAAATGGCGAAAATGACCTGCTTTCAAATGTATATTTAATCAGGATGTGTTTAGATCGCCTGAACACATTTTGTTATGTTACAATTTTAAGCTGGTCTTGGCGATAAATCAGTAAATATCACGATAGACACATGATCAATATAAAGAGAAAATACATCCAAAAAAATAGTCAGTAATGCCACTGAACCCCGCAGCATTCTGGGGGATGTAGGCAGAGGAAATGCTTTAGTTTTAGCTGCTCAACCTCTCACAGCCCCACAGTAGCTCTGATTGTTCATGAGACGAATATTATTCATGCACTTCACAAATCTGATCGTAATGGCGACAGCCCTAACTTTTTAATCAGCTTTAGTTGCAGTATAGCTGATTTTGTAGGGCCGGATGCAAATACACACCACCCTTCGGTTATTTTATTTGAAAAACATTGAAAACTATGCATTTTTTCCCAGTAAAAGCTGATGGGAGGAAGGATTTAGCTAAAAGAAAACATGAGGTTGCAGAAGACATGAGACTGATGCAGAGATTCACCTTTCAGCATCACGACAACCCTAAGCATAATAATGTGAATGAGTAACAACTCAACAGGAGTTGAGCATACAACAGGGGTATTTTGAAGTTATTTTTTTGTAAAATAAAAAATAATGTACCACTCTCCTCTCACTGTGCGACTGTGCACATGAATATCAAAAGTCCCCCCCGCCCCCAATATCCATTGAAATTTTCTTTTGTAACGGGACAAAAGGTGAAAAAGATCAGTGGTAGGATTACTTTTGCAAGTAATGAGTCGTGGACATATGCTGTTTCATAATAGTTATGACCTAAATTAATCATGATACCTGTTCTTCCTCATCCTGCAGAGTTAGAAGAGTCTCAAAGAAAATGTCCTCCCTGCTGGTACAAGTTTGCAAACATCTTCCTTATCTGGGAATGCTGCCCCATCTGGCTAAAAATCAAGCACATCGTCTATCTGATTGTCATGGACCCGTTTGTGGATCTGGCCATCACCATCTGCATCGTGCTCAACACTCTCTTCATGGCCATGGAGCATTACCCGATGACGCCGCATTTCGAGGAGGTCCTGGCCGTCGGCAACCTGGTGAGAGACGACAACGTTTACCGTCTTCTTTTCTCCTCCGCCGGAGCGACGGAGGAGTTTCACATTTGTCCGCTTAAGCAAAACAATGCATCATTTCGTATGTGCACTTAAGAACTCAAACTGACCACATAGTTATCAGATGGAAATCTCATTAAATATTTATTTCCATTTTAATGTTGCCATCTAAGTCAGCTCTGCAGTCTCATCACCACCTTTTAGTTCACTTTTCTTACACAAAGTCTGTGCTTTGACAAATACGGGAAATGTCTCATATTTTTGGCACACTTCCTTCCACCTGAAAACGTACGTAGATGTGGTTCGACACGGTTCAGCAGTGAACATGCCAAACAAGAAGACATTTTGATTTGGCTGAGTCCAGCCAAAAACACTGTAGCGCAGCAGTATTCACTCTGCGTCAGCACTGAGACAGGAAATGAGGTCATAAGCATTGGTAGCTGTCCAAAGTGAAACAGGAATTTAATTCACCCTGCATTAGAAGCTGGATGGTGCAGTGTGAATCACTGGGTGTCTTCTGCAGCACTGACTGGACACATGATTAGCTGTCGGGTGGGTGAATGTGCAGATTTTTTGACCTTATGCCGGCATTTAAAAATTGCACAGAGTTAAGGTTTTAACAGTAATGCATTTTAAGGTCATTGCAAGCAAGCTAGTTGGGGTTGTGCAAAGATAATTTACATGACATCTTTTGAGGTTTATCATCACTACCACTTTTAGAAAAGCGTAAAGAAGTTTGTACATACGTCTAATATATGTAAAGACTTCTTTACAATTTAAGGTGTTAAAGTTTCAAGATTGCTCATGTTTAACGCACTTAAATCTGTTTTAAACTGACTGCACATTTATTGATTGCCATTTTAAAGTTTTTTCTTGTGAGGTACATTGTTTTTAAAGGTAGAAAAGTACCTACACCATCACAGTAATCACAGAGTGTCACCCGACCCAGATCTCATAGCGTTATTTATTAAAACTGTGATTAAACAATTACATGCTAAATTTATACAGTGGAAATACCGAAATGCATTTTAATCTGCTATTTCACTGTTCTTTGTCTTGGCTACAAACATGAAGTGAAAAAAATAAAGTGTCTTTTATGAAATATCAAGCCTACTATCAAGCATACTGTTTGTAATACGATCAAGGATGCAACATTTACAGTCTGTTATCACATTAGGATAGAGTAAGTTTCTTTTGCCATAATACTACCATCTTGGTTTTTTTCTAAAACACAGAACTTACTTAACAATTAACGTCTGTGAATAAGAGCTTAACGTTTTAAAGAGAAACTGTCAATTATCAGTTAAATAAATCAGAAAGTTAGTTTATCTACCATGACATCTGAGCCGTGTCGAGCACCAGGCATGCCGAGTGAAGTGTTAAGATATTGCAAATCTCAACACTATGTAATGCTGATAGATCACTGCTTCAACATGAGAGTAGCAGTGAAGTGATATTTTCCTCCTGAGTCTCACTGGCATCTCTTTTAAAATTGGTCTCCCCCTGTAGGTTTTCACCGGCATCTTTGCTGGCGAGATGTTTGCCAAGCTCATAGCCATGGACCCCTACTACTACTTCCAGGAAGGCTGGAACTGCTTTGACGGCTTCATCGTGACCCTGAGTTTGGTTGAACTGGGGCTGGCGGACGTGGAGGGACTCTCAGTTCTCAGGTCTTTCCGATTGGTAAGCGAAAACTCGTGTCTCGTTTTAATGCTACAGAAATATGAGATGCAATCATCAGATTTCTGTTACGTGATGCTCAGCTTTAGGATTAAACTCTGACTTGATTTAGCTTAGCTGATATGTTCTAAATGAGTTCAAAATAAAACCAATTAATACCTGTTTTTTGTTTGCAGTTAAGAGTGTTCAAACTGGCCAAGTCGTGGCCCACACTAAACATGCTGATTAAGATCATTGGAAACTCGGTGGGAGCTCTGGGTAATTTGACCTTGGTGTTGGCCATCATTGTCTTCATCTTTGCCGTGGTGGGAATGCAGCTGTTTGGAAAAAGCTACAAGGACTGTGTGTGCAAGATCGCGTTGGACTGCGAACTCCCACGCTGGCACATGAACGACTTCTTTCACTCCTTCCTGATCGTGTTCAGAGTGCTGTGTGGAGAGTGGATTGAAACAATGTGGGACTGCATGGAGGTGGCAGGACAAGCCATGTGCATTATCGTCTTCATGATGGTTATGGTCATTGGAAATCTGGTGGTAAGAAAAAAAAAATAATCACACGATCATGTACACTAAGCTCTGAGGTTTCAGAGGGCGCTTTGTGTTTCCCTGTAAGGTGCTGAACCTGTTTCTGGCTCTGCTGCTGAGCTCGTTCAGTGCAGACAACCTGGCTGCCACCGATGACGACGGAGAACCCAACAACCTCCAACTCGCTGTTGCCCGCATCAAGAAAGGGATCGCCTGGTTTAAAGTCAACATGCGAATCTTGGTAGCCACGGTTCTCAAAAAGGTACGTGACGCTTAGGCATCAACATGTGCCAAAGGTTTTAAAAAATTATGGTTTTAAAGCTGCCAAGATTTCTATAAGGGCTGTCTATGAGAAAGTGTCAGTAAAAATTAAAGAAAAGACATTTTAAAAATATTGATTAATAAAAGAAAATTGATAAGCCTAAGTGACAGAACCAGAGTGTCTCTGGGTAATCTTTGATTGAGTCCTGGAATTGTGACCTTAGGGAGATTTAAAAAAAGACTAAAATCAGCAAGAGAGACTGGAATTGTTCTTCTAAACGTATACAGTGAGGTCATTTAACAACTTTTAAAGTCTTTTAGGACTACCAGTAGCTACGTTTGTTACTGAAGAGTTGTAAACACTGGTCGGTTCAGAAGAGAGCTGCAGTCTTGCTGCCTGAACAGAAATACCCCAGTATTTGGAGGGTTCAGGGATGACAGTCATCCACAAAACACTGAAATCTGCAAAAACTTGAGACTCCTCATAAAAACGCTTTTTACTGCCTATTTTAATAGTTGAAACACCAAATATACCCCAATATGCATCCATACAACCAAGAGGAAACCTTATTGCACCAACACAGAAGTTAGCATTTACAGTCTTCCCCACATCCACTCTTGAGATTTCAGCCAATCATTGGCAAGAAAAGTTAATGGGGCTTCTGGATTGGCTGCATGTTGATTAGCATTGTACCTAGGCATTTCAGCTGCCCAAACTGCATTTTCTTTTGAATATTTTAAATATGCTCTATGAAAAAGCAGCTATTTAAAATCTCAACGTCATCGTCTACCTCCATGTTTTCTGACAGCATTTTTGTTTGTCTCGCTTTACCTTCCTGATGAGCAGCCTATAGAGGACGAGCAGAAGCCTTTGGATTATGAGGAAAAGCTCAACTGCATAGCAAACCACCCTGCTGAAATCAACCGAGAACTGGACTACCCCAAAAATGGCAACGGCACCACCAGCGGCATCGGGAGCAGTGTGGGAAAGTACATGATCGACGACGACTACATGTCTTTCATCCACAACCCCAACCTCACTGTGTGCGTTCCCATCGCCGTGGGAGAGTCAGACTTTGAAAACCTCAATACGGAGGACTTCAGCAGCGAATCAGATGTGGAAAACAGCAAAGATGTGAGTAGAAATGGCTTGCTGAGACTAAAAGACTAAAATCAGCAAGAGAGACTGGAATTGTTCTCCTAAACGTATACAGTGAGGTCATTTAACAACTTTTAAAGTCTTTTAGGACAACCAGTAGCTACGTTTGTTACTGAAGAGTTCAGTAGATTTTCAGGTAGATGAAACTGTCTGAAGCTTTGAATTCAATAGTTTCAAACTGAAAAATCTGAAATAGAAAAATAACAAGGTTCTCATTTTGAGTTTCTGTAAAGCTTAGACCTGGCAATAATGATTTTGCCTGATTTTTGACTCAGAACAATTATATTAGAGGTATAAAAACAGCTCTGCTAATAGCTGTGAGCGATCATTAACTCCTCTTTTTTTAAGAGCAGAGGAAGCCACTGTAAGGTAATTTTATGATTATTTTTTATAAAAACACATTTAAAACTGTCATTTAAAGCTGTCCTCAGTATCTTATTTTAGTGATTAGCACTGTTAGTCCAGCTAGCATTACATATCCATCAGTCTTTGTGTATATATTTTTGACATAATTGGTCGTTTGCTTAAGTTTGATATTTCCAAAAGGTTGCCAACATTTAAGAATCCAGCAATTTTCTTACTCAGCAGAGGCTGAAAGCTCAAAATGAAACAAAGGAACTTCACCTGACCCCCTTTATCCTTACTGTCATCTGGTGAAAGTCTTGCTCTTATTGGGAATCTGAATGATTCACAGACATGTTTCTACGTGTAGAAATTATAATTGAATCCTTCAGCGTCCTCTGACCATATTTTCAACCCCTTGTTGGTCTTATAAATAGCTTCTTTTCTCAGGAACAACTTCCACATGTGTGGTGCATAAATTATTGGAGAAAACTTTTATTTTTGAGTTTCCAATCAGTATGTCACCGGTCAAGCTTAATCAAGCTGATCATTGATCAGCTGACTTCTCTGTGCATTGCTGAGAAAATATCACATTTGTTAAAATTTTATCCAACGTCTGCAGAGTTGGTCTCGACTTGTAGATGAAAACACAAAGCTGGTGTGACATTTCAGAGCAGCCATTTCAACAGGAGTGCTGTTACACTGAACAGAAATGCTGAGTATGCAAACAAAGCAAAAAAAAAAAAAGAAGCCTGAGACAGACAGGGAGCAAGCCTGATGAGGCAATAGAAATACTGCCATCTGTATGTTATGATGTACAAACAGCAAAAGCCAGACCAAAGACCTGTAGGCATTTATAATATGCAGGTCACCTTCATTTGGTTCACAGTGGGACAAATTGAGATTATGCAGCTGCATCACGATTATTCCTGCAGCTGGTTCTTATACCATCAGTCACCTCAACTCATCCTCCCTGCACAGCATGCAGAAACAGAACACCCTGCAGAGGAGACGGAGCTGCTAGCAGAGGAAAAAGTGTTAGCAGCTAACAGAACTATATATTTGAAAGTCTCATTGTGGATATTCTTTTGTTTTTATTTGGTTAACTTTTACAGTTTAGTCCATTACTTCATAGCAAATGATTCATTCGTTGCTTACAGATCTGGATTTTTATAAATATAGAAATGAGCATCAGTAGCAATACAATCATGATTTATGTTTACATTTATACACAGATTGTTATTTTTTTAAACTTTACTAGAAAACTGTTAGTAGCACAGTTACATATTGAGACAATTGGGAAGTAGTACGTAAAAGTATTGTTCCCCTGCTGTGTGGCAGATAATATAGCTTCTGTATCGAATCAATTAGCTGAGCTTGTGTTTTAAAGAATGGGTTGATGTTTTTTTGTCATAGTTGGATGACACCAGTTCATCTGAGGGCAGCACGATAGACATCAAGCCTGACGTAGAGGAGGTGGCAGTGGTTGAAGTCGTGGAAGAGTATCTTGATCCTGATCCCTGCTGGACTGACGGTACGTGACGCTCAGCTCCTATCAGACTTTGTGGTTCAGATGTGAAACGAAACCTTAAAGAAAATGAAAGTCTGGAAGGTTGACACAACAGCAGCGGATCTTTAATGTGCAGGGGTGCTTTATAAACTAACAACAGTATTTTAAAGTTTCTTCCCTGAACTGCAGGGAGCCGGTGTAGAGACTTTAGAACTGGGTTTAACTTCCTGGATGCAGAGCATTCTGGATTGCAGTAATCATTGAGACGTTAGATAAACACATGGTTGAGTTCCTCTGGATCTCGCTTTACTCTTTAATCCTGGAAATGTTCTTCAGGTGATAGAAGGCCGACTTTGTAGCTATCTTTATGTGTCTCTGAATATTCAGGTCTGACTTCATCACTACTCCCAGATTTCGGACCTGATCACTCGTTTCTAGCTGTATTAACCAAAGCTGTACATAATAGGGCATTTGAAATAATAAAAAAAATCTTACATACAAATACTTACATTAAATATGTAAATAAATACATGTTTTTATGCTTCTGTTTTTATTTTTCAGTAATTTATCAACCACAAAATAAAGCAAATGTTATAACTGCTATAAATTATATATATATATATATTGAGATATTTCATTAATCACGCAGAGTGTGTGGCCAAATACAAGTGCTGCGATGTTCCCATCACTCACGGATGGGGAAAGCACTGGTGGTTCCTGAGGAAGACCTGCTACCTGATAGTGGAGCACAACTGGTTTGAGACCCTCATCATCTTCATGATCCTCCTCAGCAGTGGAGCTCTGGTAAAAGCACAAACACACCCACCAAGGTCCTTTTCGTCTCCTAAAAGTACTCAAAGATTACATTTGATAGCATAGATTATTATGAAGTGAATCAGACATAGTTAGTTGCCAGTTTATATTAAACTTTAATATGGGTGTAAAGAAAGAGCTGGGGAAGTAGATTGCAATAATAAGTGCATAAATACACGTTCATTTATGTGTGGTGAATATCACTGGACTCTAAAGATGCAAGGGAGCATCCACGTCTCTTGCTTGTTTGCTGCAGCTCCTCTTGATGTTATAGTCCTTAATGGATGGCAAAGTGCTGTAATGCACCAACCTTTTAACCAAGAAGTTTCACCTTAGGTTTACAGCTTTCTGAAGGGAACAAAAAGGCCTCTGGAGTACATGTCATGCAGAGACTTGTCAGTCCTCATCTTTTATTTATCTCCCTTTCTCTTTATTATTTTTATGTTGTGTAAAGCTTCTGCTTTTATTGAAAACAAAGATTTGTCTCCAATGTCAGGTTCAAGTTAAAACCAGTAACTTGACTTACCCAGTTGATGACTGGAGGACAGGAAGTTGCATCTACCGCAGTATTTATTTAATAGCTTTTGTTGTGTCATGGTGCACAAGTAGCACCCTAAATGCTCTTTTTTTGCTTTACACTTTCTTTGGTCAGAAAGATTAAACAAGCTCCCTCAGCACTCAAGTTCAATACAAATACAAATGTCAGGAAATGGTTTTCACAATTAATCTTCTGTCCACTGTGATTCTGCTGCATTTCAGGCCTTTGAGGATGTGTATATTGAACAGAGGAAGACGGTGCGCATCATTCTAGATTACGCCGATCGAGTTTTCACCTACATCTTCATCCTGGAGATGTTGCTGAAATGGGTGGCCTACGGCTTTGTCAAGTACTTCACCAATGCCTGGTGCTGGCTGGACTTCTTCATTGTGGATGTAAGTACACTTATATTCTATCTGGTGATGTTAAGCCAGTTTATTTTTTAATCTCCACCATGAGGGGATTTCAGAAAACGCATATCATGGGTTAGTTTAAGATTATAACAATATTTCACATTATAAATTCAGTTACACAGCAAATTTGGAAGTGTTCCATCAACTCCTACAGAGTTAAATTCAAAACTTTGAAAGTGTCTATATCGGTCCACTCTGGATGGTGTAGAAGTTACACTTTTGAAGTGTTATTTGTGATAGAGTTGAATCAACACTCACAGTAGTTGAAATCAAATATACTTCAGTGTTAATCTACCCAACAACTAGTGTATATTGTCAAAAGTTAACACTATGAACGTGTTAATGTAACACAGAAGTGTAAAGTATATATTAACATAGAAATCTGAGTTTTGAAATACTACTGGCAGGGTATGCTGTGGATTTTCAGATTTCAACAGAAGAGGTCTTTCCTTTGCAGTTCTCATCAGATGTTTTAAAGACAATTTGGATTCCTGAAGGCTTGTTCTGCCTCCCATGTGGTCCCCTGTAGGTCCAGGCTGGGGGCCTGCTGCATCCCCTATCCTATCTGTTGCTCCTTCCCTGATGTGATGTCACAAATATGTTACAATTGTGGGAGGAACTGTCTGATGTTGATTTCTAAATCAACAGCAGACTGAGTGTTGATTTAGACTGTTGGTGCTAATTTAGAAATCAACACTGGACTGAATTGCTCTTTATTTAACTCTTTGGTTCTCTTTAGTGAGTGTTAGGGAAACTAACACTCACTAACACTCATGTTGTTGAATTAACACTGTATTTTTAACATGTACACTTGCACTGGAAATCTGACACTTCCGAATTTGCTGTGCACCAGAACTTATTGGCAATAAATATTTCAAAACACATCTAAGGTTATTAAATGATTTTAGTAATAACTTTGATTTTGAATGTCTTGTTTTTCATTGTTGTTCATAATTTTTTTCCCATCAGTTTAAAAAAAATGTAATAATCAACATTAAAAAGTCTGATGAAGCTGAATAAAGCAACATGTTTCGAGTCTACAGGAACTTGTTGTTCTACGTTGAACAAAAGTAGCCCAAGAATTGCACCTTGTGGTACCCCGCGTCATCTTTGTTTGTTCCACAAAATATTTCTTCCCTGCTAAGTAAGATGTACATAAATTTAGCTCAGAACAAGACAAACCCACTCTGATCAGCCTCATAAAATCCACCTTTAGAGATATCAGCACAAATGTTTGACAAGCATCGCTGTACGATATTTGATCCTTCTCTGTTCAGATGCAGTTGTGTGGGTGAAAATCTACCAGGCCAAAACGGAAGAAATGGTTTTTCAATTTTTCTGAAAGCAGCAAATTTGTAGCAATGCTGCATTTCAGTGTTCTTGAACATAATGCTAGATTATAATTAATAACTATAATTAGTATTGAGGTACTCAGGTTAGGATTTCTTTGTTTAAAGAAATAAGTTTCATCCCCAGTTTTAAGTTCTTATGTTTTATTTCTAACCCTTCAAGGTCCAAATTCATCCTCTGTTTGCTGAACTACAGATCTTAACTGTAAAACTCTTTTTTTCTTGATGGCTATCAGATTGTTATGTTGTTTTATGTATTTGGATGTGTGACAGTGTTGGATGTCAGGTTTAAGGTGAGGCACAGAGAAAAGAGAGGATGGACAGAGAGAAAGAGAGAGACTCCAGACCATTTTTTAATTCACTGAAGCAGTTTGTAGAGCTGGATATTGTTTTTAACCTTTATTTACTTTTATATTGTCCTTGTTTACGAAATACCCAAACTTTCACTGTTGCTCACTGGCAAATCTGTCAGTGCAAAAATGAAGAAAACTTATGATTTGAGCTAATATGAGACTTTTTTGAGTCCAGATATCTGCTGACATTGCTTAAGGACTCACCTACAGTTCACAGCAAAGTGAACTATAGGTAAACATAGAATATTAATTAATATACTAAATAAGCTCAGTATATTAATTTTACAGACACAAATATTAAATAACTGCTGCTGCACAGAAATATGAAATTGTTGGTTATTCTCAAATATATTGTAGGAGATGTTATTGTACTCCATAACCTTAGCTGAGAGGGCCCAAAGACGGAGCCTTGGGGGACCCCTAACGCAATCTCTCTTTCCTCAGATTTAAGTATGCTTGTTTTATTGTTCTAATAACTTCTCACTGTTAAAAAAGTACACCATCTTTCAGTTCTAGGGTTTTAATGTATAAATGACCTGGTCTTCACCCGATTTTACAGTTGCTGAAATCTTACGTCAGCTGCACAAAACCACACACCACATATTTATTCATGTCATGTATTTTGAAACAAAAGTGAAAGTCCCGGGAATACCAAGCAAACCCTGAAAAACCCTAAAAAAAAGAAGGTGTGCTTAATTTTACTTTGACTGGAATACAGATAACCTAGAAATGTGCACAACTTGAACCTGCTGCCAAGTATCTGTTAGTAATTGTAGTTCATTGTTTGCAGTCCAGTTGATTTTTGTTTTGTGTCTTTTTGTTGTTTTTTTCAGTTTTTAATGCCAATGTCTGAATGCCAGTTTGGTTTGTGTCTGTTTGTTTGTTTGTTTTTGTCCCAGATTAGTAAATCTAACTCAAGAGGAAGAAATTACCAATACAACCTGTGTGTCCTTCCCTGCCAAAAGACGGAAATGTTCCCTACTCATTTTTCATACTTCTTTGTATTTCTGTTCAAGGGTAAATCCAAAGTTACACTCTAGTATGAGTCGGCTTTTAATGTCTTTGATTGTCTGTTTGTGACAAATCCAGATTAAAGAACGTAATCTGATCCCACAGCAGGGGACGGGATTCCCACCCGACAAACATAACGGGGACTGGGTGACGGGGTGTTGTGGTTGTATGGTTCTCCCTCCCACTTCTGAAACCTCATTTAACAAATGATCTGTTAAAATTACCAATATGTCTTCAAACTGCAGGCATCTGAAAACCAACAACAAGCGTGTGTTGGCACCAGAATAAGGTGTCTGGCATCGGCAAAGAGGATCGGGTAAATTTTGTCATGGGCGCAGTCCACGCACACAACTCTAACAAACAAGTAATATCTTTATTGCTGTGAGGGATTGCTGCAACAAAGAAATAATCAGCCAAGTGCAGCAAGCTTCTTTACTTCTTGTATTGAATATGTAATAATATAGGAAACTACAGTAGGACTTGCAATAAATAGCACATTCTTCATCACAAATGACTAAATTTGGGTGAAATATATATTCAAAAGAGTACTCAGAAGAGAGAAAGAGAGAATGGGTTGTCTATATATTAAATTTAGCAAAGTTTATTTTGTAGTAATTAAGAGTTTGATCCATTTTGCTTTTGATAGACAGATGAGGGTTTTCATGTTCACAAAAAAGACAATTTATTTCTTGACCAAAGAAACTGAAAGTAAAATTATGAGCTCTCAAATGCGAGGTCCGTCACATGAACACGTCGTTTTAATGTGTTTATGCACAGCACTGGCTGTACCTACGTCTACAAGCTATAAGTTCAGGTTAAAATTTGAGTCCAGTAGGCAAACACATTGATTCAACAATAAAAACCTTAAGAGGGGCGCAAAACAAGAGAATGACCAGTCATTGTGGCTGCTGCACTTTATGAAGGTGGCTGTAATTATACAAAGCTGATGCATTACTAGTTACGTCACATCCTGTAAATACGACTCGGTCCTTTGCCCTGACACTGACCTGTCCTCTCTCTCACAGCAGGTTCCAATAACTTTGTCTCTCTTTAAGCTAAGAGAGACATTGTGCACCTCAGAAGGGGGACAGAGAGGTCGGTGTTTGGGGGTCCAGGGTAAGGTTTGTGTGCTGTTTTGGGGATCCTACTTTCACAGGTTACCCTCTCTCTTCTAACCCTGAAAGTTGTCCTCAACCTCCTGCGTTCTCTCTCTCTCTGTGTCTTTCTCTCTCCCTCTCTCTCCCTTCTTTGAGTGAAATGCCCGCTGGTGTTGGTACCGTTTTTGTACTGTGTACTGTGTGTTATATTATCGTGTCACATTGATTTTGAGTGTTTCGTGAACACATCTCTCCTCCGATTTTGTCCCTTTGTTGGACTCTCTTCTCTTCCTCTCACTGTGTCAACCACAAGTTTCTTTCCAGGTGTGCTCACTGTGCTGTTAAGCTGGTTGTCACGCTAGACTGGCTTGCCAAAACTAAACCAAACACAAACATGAGGTTTTAAACAAGGGGGAAAAAAACTAACTCTGGGTAAACATTACTGACCATTTCCTTTTTACTGTTTGGACCTTTATGTTGTAGAAGTATTCCTACACATAAAGGAGTTATTTTTGTACTCTGTATATAATCATTTAGCCATCCTTACAGTTGATTTAGGGCCAACTTTCTCTCTATATCCCTTCTAACTGTGTGGCGACTTTCTTCTTCTTCTTCTGCCTCTGTCTTTCCTTCTCCTTCTGTCCCTATCTGTGTAGGTGTCTATAGTCAGCCTTATAGCTAATGCTTTGGGCTTCTCCGATCTAGGCCCGATTAAATCACTCAGGACACTGAGGGCCTTGAGACCCCTCAGGGCCCTGTCACGTTTTGAAGGGATGAGGGTAAGACCTAAGATTCCAGGCAGCTGCTCCTTTTGCATGCCGATTTAACAAAAAGCATCAACGCATGCTAGAAATGGCAACAAAAAAAACCTTGAAGATCTATAAGGGGAATATTTGCAGTAACCCTTTTAATAGGCAAGAAGCTTTTTTTGCATGGATTAAGATCATCTCAGATGGTTTAATACATCTGATTTGATTTATCATATTTCATTTCATATATGATAAATTTAGCGTTCTGTTAAAGCTCCTAGTGATTAAGTATTTGTAGAAAATATGACCCACTCTAAAGATATCTTGCTCTGACCTACCTGAATGATGCAGCAAAATAAAAAAATAAAAAAGTCAGCTCTGATTGGTGCTAGCTGAGAAACAACTAGAGGCTGGCGTGAACTGTCGCATCAAAACCTTAAATTCAAATTCAAGATGAAATAAACACAATCTGGTCTTCCTAAAGTACTCAGACAAATTAACTCACAATGCCCCTCAAAGTGTTCGTGTTGTTTCAGCTTTTTTCACCTTACAACCAGAAACTTGTGATTTGTTTCGTTATAATTTTATGGGATAGACCAAACCAAAGTAGAAATAACGGATAGAAAATCAGTTTGTCTGAAGTGTGGTGTACATTTGTTTTCAGACCCATCTGCTGTGATATCCCTAAAGAAAATACAGTGCAACACCTGTTTCATAGAAGCCTCTTTAAAACAATATATAGCAGTATTGTCTGAAATACATATGCTACCATGCTGGAATTCCTTATTTTGATTTGATTGGTAATTTTTCATCCAACGGATACTCTGATTGGACGGAAAAGGCCTGTCTGTGATTGGCTGGTGGTGTGTTTTTGTACCAATTATTGATTTAGTGGGGAACAAATACAAATTCCTGCCACACTTTTCAGATTTCTATTTGTAAATACAGCTCTTGAAAAAAATGAAGAGCCCACTGCATTGAAAACCTGCAGTTTTCAATGTTGGTGGAAAAACAGTTAGTTTTTCCACCAACTGTTCGTTTCTGAACTCTTCCTGAGTTAAAACATTAATATTGTTGTTTCCAAATAAACATGAACTTTTGTTCTTTGCATTATTTGAGGTCTGACAGCTCTGCATCTTTTTTAATTATTTTTGACCAATTCTCATTTTCTGCATATAAATAAATACTAAATTTTTGCTTGTAATTTCAGAGGTATGTTGTCAGTAGTTCATAGAATAAAAGAACAATGTTCATTTTACTCAAACATTTGCCTACAAAAGGAAGTAAAATCAGAGAAACTGGCCATCTCAAGTGGTCTCTAAATTTTTTCCAGAGCTGCAAGTTAACATACTTTGCTCTACTTTGTGTTGGTCTATCACATAAAATCCCAACAAAAGACGTGTTTTGTGGTTGTCATGTGGTGAAATATGAAAAGTATTAGAAGGATATATCTGATGTGACTCCATATTAAAATCTTTGGTGAGTTTTACAGTATCTCCTCATGTTATTAGGGAATCTAAAACTTTCGTCTCCTGTTATAACTATCGTCACTTTTGAGCGGCACTTGATTTGTGTGATGGCTCCGATCAGCCTCTGGTTGTTGTCTGGCAGAATACAAAAAGTCCTGCCCGTGTCTGGGCTCAGCATCCTGACTTTTGCTCTGCCTGAGGTGTCCTGTTACCTGATCTTATCACAGTTTGGCTTTGGCATTGTCACACTGGAAGATCAACAAACTTCTGGTTGCATACCCCCCCTCCCTTCCCCTGCCATCTTTGCTTATCACTCTTCAGTGATTTCTCATCACTATGGTTTTCATCATCACACTTTTGCTATTATATTAACAGTGCATTGACTCTTTTAATATGATATTGGGCTGAAGAAAAAAAAATGCAAAAAGAGGGAAAAAAAAGTGATATTATGTTTATAGTTTTGGTTTGTTTGGCTTTTCGTATTCATGGCACCTCTGTATGTAGAAATGCACATTCATGTATTCACCTGTGAAGGCTTCAACCCCTTCCTGCTATTTTTATAGATTTGTTCCTTTTCACATGAGATGATGATTTAATTTGTCAAATTATCTTGGCATATATTCCATTGGGACTGTTAGAGATTATATTTACACACCCAATTAGTCTTTCGTACATATATTTAAACATCAACATAGAACATTTGAAATTGGTTCGGAGGAGTGTAACAAAACGATATGGCACAAAACGTCCGTAAGAAGCTTTTGATCTAGTGTAAAAACAATTTAATAAATCAAATTGCAGTTAAAGACAAACTTGTCAAAAGTTTCACACCCTTTAAACAAATGCTAGGAGACGGCAAGCCTTCAAAATGTTACGTTTAACTTTACATCAAAGGTGAGCATGTGTCACATGTGAAATCCAGTCCGAAACTCATTTTTGCTGTTTCTTGATTTACAGATATGTTTTTTTTCTACATGCGGTTATCTGTTTTCATATTTTTATTTATGCTTTTTCATAAATATATTGTTTTTGAAATATTTATTTCATATTTATGCTTTCTACATTCCTTTTGCTTTACTTATATTCTTGTTAATAATAATAATTTGTGCATTTTGTAGAATTATTGTTGCTTTACGTAATTTTATCTTATTTATGCTTTCCCTAGCTCTTTCATTTCACATCTGTTTACATTTATTTCAGTCACAATTACGTTTTGCATTTGTTTTGTGACGCAGAAGATGTCTGAAAACGCTTCTTCTCTTTTCGTTTAATTTTTACTGCGAGTTAAAACTTGGCTCCAGTATTGCGTGTTGTCCTGCTCAGTATTGTTACACTCCCTATCAGTGCATCACGAAAGGGTTTAGCAATCACCAAAACACCTCTTGTGTGAGAAGAGAGTGTGCATTTCTCTGTGTGTGTTGATGTTGATGTGCAGCTGCAGTGCGACTGTCGGTCCACAGTTTTGTTTCCTCACGGCTCTCTGCAGGTTGTGGTGAACGCCTTGGTGGGCGCCATACCCTCCATCATGAACGTGCTGCTTGTGTGCCTCATCTTCTGGCTCATCTTCAGCATCATGGGTGTTAACCTGTTTGCCGGGAAATACTACTACTGCTTCAACGAGACGGCTGAAGCGTACTTTCTGCCGAATGACGTCAACAATAAAACCCAGTGCTTTGAGCTGATTAACAGTAATTACACTGAAGTCCGGTGGAAAAACGTGAAGATCAATTTTGACAACGTGGGTGCAGGATATCTTGCACTTTTGCAAGTGGTAAGAAAGCTTTTCTATTTGGGGAAACTTTTTTTTCCCTCTTGCAAATTTTAAATCTAACTTCTTGTTGTCCACCTGTTTCACAGGCAACTTTTAAAGGTTGGATGGACATTATGTATGCAGCAATAGATTCCAGAAAGGTACGCTTCTGCAGCTCTGACTGTTTGTACTCCACTTCACGGTTTAGAATAACTTCAATGTGCTTTTGCCATCTCACAGGTGGAAGACCAGCCTGTCTATGAGGACAACCTCTACATGTACATCTACTTTGTCATATTCATCATCTTTGGCTCCTTCTTCACCCTGAATCTCTTCATTGGTGTCATCATCGATAATTTCAATCAACAGAAGAAAAAGATAAGAACTGTTTTCTTTATCTTTCTTTACACACCACTCCGTCAGAGAGCAGTGTGTGTGAATTAGAGAGGAGTACTGCCTTATAGAGAAGATCTGCAGCTGGCATCCATGGTAGAGATGTGCAAAAAACATTATTATAATTACAAAAGCTGTAGTAGCATAATCTGACACTAATCACTGTATAGATGTTGGCTCTTCTAAAAACTTTTGTGTCATATAGCGTGCATGGGAAAAAAATACCATCCGCTGAAACCAAGTGACACTTTTGATGCAAAAGGGGAACAAGTGAAAAAAGTGACTTATTGTGTTGCTGTTTTTTTTTATGAGGCAGAGATATAACAGATGTTAAAATTAATCCTCTCCTAAAGTGAAGTGTGGCTAATATTTACCAAGCAGTTTCTCCTAATCGTGTAAACTATCAATCATGTTGTTCTTTGGCCACTTTTTCTGTCAACACGTTTCAATGTAATTCTTGAATAAGTAGCTTAGGCCTCTGCAGATTGTAACCAAACTGTTTTTGTCCCCTTTACTTTGGAGGTCAGGATATCTTCATGACAGAAGAGCAAAAGAAATACTACAATGCAATGAAAAAACTTGGGTCAAAGAAACCACAGAAACCAATACCAAGGCCTCAGGTAGACATTGCTGCTCTTGTCACCTGCAAACAAATTCATACTTCCTCCAGAAATAATCATTTTTCTTCTCTCCGTTTTCTACAGAACCAGATCCAAGGAATGGTGTTTGACTTTGTGACACAGCAGGTGTTTGACATTTCCATCATGATCCTCATCTGCCTCAACATGGTCACCATGATGGTGGAGACCGACGATCAGTCAGAAGAAACGGAGGTCGTGCTTTACTGGGTCAACTTCGTGTTCATCGTGGTTTTCACCGGCGAGTTCCTCCTCAAGCTGTTTGCGCTGCGCCACTATTACTTCACCAATGGCTGGAACATCTTCGACGTGGTGGTGGTCATCCTCTCCATTGTGGGCAAGTATTCAGGAAATGCTTTGTGTGAATGAAGGAAAACCAAGAGTTTGCTTGAGTGTAGCCTAAATACTACCCATTCAAATGGGCTAAAAAGGCAGTTTATAGACAGTGATAAATAGGAACTTATGCAACTTGAGTCTTTTTTTTATCGTAATTATTTAACTTCTCTACATCTGTATCCAGAGTTTTAATTAATCTGGTAATTTAAAAAAAAAAGATGGATAAAGACAAAGACAAAACTGGGTTTGCAGCTTTCATAACTAGAACTGAAGGATTTATTTGAATATGAAGAAAACTCATCATTTCTGAAAGGAGTTTTGCAGTTTTTAGTTGACATGGTTTGATTTTGAGGCTAATGTGTCTTTAGCACATAAAGAGCAAGAACAAATCTAGCTCTCTCTGGTGTTTACAGTAAAATAAATGTTTCTCCTAAGATACCAAACACATGCATACTATGGTGTATACATATTTAGGTAAGTAATAATTAAGGTAGTGAGTAAATAAATTCAATAAATAGCACTACATAAACAAAAAAATGGAGGTGAAATACAGAAGACTGCCTAAAAACAGTGCATTGTCATCTTTGTGAAATTTCTGTCTGAATTGACATGTTTTGTAAAAATTGTGACACTTTAACCAAGCGTGTTTGGTCTCTTCCTTGTAACCTCAGGTATGTTTCTGGCTGACCTGATCGAGAAGTACTTTGTGTCGCCGACACTCTTCAGGGTGATCCGTCTGGCTCGTATCGGCAGGATCCTGCGTCTCATCAAGGGCGCCAAAGGAATTAGAACTCTGCTGTTCGCCCTCATGATGTCGCTCCCCGCCTTGTTCAACATCGGCCTCCTGCTCTTCCTGGTCATGTTCATCTTCTCCATCTTTGGCATGTCCAACTTTGGCTACGTGAAACACGGGGCCGGCATCGACGACATGTACAACTTTGAGACGTTTGGAAACAGCATGATCATCCTGTTCATGATCACCACGTCGGCAGGTTGGGACGGCCTTCTGCTGCCCATCCTCAACTACCCGCCGGACTGCGACCCGCTTTTAGAGAACGCCGGCACGCCCGCAACCGGAGACTGTGGCAACCCGTCCGTGGGCATCTTCTTCTTTGTCATGTACATCATCATTTCTTTCCTAATCGTGGTCAACATGTACATTGCCATCATCCTGGAGAACTTTAGTGTGGCCACGGAGGAAAGCGCAGACCCACTCAGTGAGGACGACTTTGAGACCTTTTATGAAATTTGGGAGAAATTTGACCCTGATGCCTCCCAGTTCATTACGTATGCCAAGCTTTCTGACTTTGCCGACGCGCTTGAGCACCCGCTGCGTGTCCCCAAGCCCAACACCATTGAGCTGATCGCTATGGACATGCCTATGGTGAGTGGAGACCGCATCCACTGCCTGGACATCCTGTTTGCCTTTACCAAGCGAGTGCTGGGCGACAGCGGGGAGCTGGACATGCTCAGGCAGCAAATGGAGGAGCGCTTTGTGGCTGCCAATCCCTCTAAAGTCTCCTATGAGCCGATTACCACCACTCTGAGGCGAAAACAGGAGGACGTGTCTGCGAGGATCATCCAGCGGGCCTACCGCTCCCACCTGGCCTGGCGGGGATTTGTGTGCAAGCGCAAACCGGCCAACAACAAAGCCGAGAACCAGGAGCAAGAAAAGAAGGAGGGCACTCCATCCACTGCCTCCCTGCCTTCTTATGACAGTGTGACCAAACCTGAGAAGGAGAAGCAGGACGACAACAACGAGGGCAGGGGAGAGAGGAAAGAGAGGGGCAGAAACCAAAAAGACATCAGGGAGTCTCAGTGTTAGGCTGGGGAAGGGGTGACGAATAACCACATTAATAACAGTACAGATTTAACTAATGTAACTTCAAGCAGAGTGAGAGAAAACTCACCCACACAGATGTACAGATTATTTCATTTGCAAGTCAGAAAAAAAAATAGTCCTCAATAATTTTGTTTACAGACTTCATTCCTATACGGATGCGGAGCGGGGCGAGAAACGACTGAACTTTAGTCAAACCAAACATAATCAGCATTCTGTGTGGCACTCTTATATCAACACAACCGATCCTAATGAAAAGGGGAAAGGAAGACAGAAGAGGGGGAAAATCCGACGTTTTTCCACCAAGTAACTCTACACCAAGAGGCTGGAAGGCAAAAACGGGAATCCAGCGCCGTGTGGCTGCAGATGACAAGGAAGCTGCTCGGTCTTTCAGCGGTCAAAGTGGTTCTGTGTCAGTGTGTAGAGACACAAGCGACAGACTCACTCTATGAGCAAACAGAGGGATGACTGGTGAGTGAGAGAAAGACAAACTGAGAGTCTAAAGTATTTTCTCTTGTTTTATTAAAACTAGAATTTTTTTTTTGTCTTTTTGAGCAGCAAAAAATGCAAACCGAGAAACAAACCAACAAAAAAAAAGAAAAAAAAAAGAAAAAAAAGAACAATATTCAAACAGTTTGCCCATGTCGGTCAACTACTCACATTGTCTTTGTTACACCCACATACAAAAATGCTTTATTTTACATGGGCTTTTTGCACCAAATTGGTTAAAGGGTCTGTTTATTAACAGGGGTTCAACTCGGGGCCAAGGGCTTCCATTTACTCAGAAAGATTTCCAGACAAATACATAAATAATTGTGCTTGTTCAATGCATAGAAATGACTTGCATGAAGGCATGTTTTGATCAGAAATCTTGCATGAATTATCATAGTCCACAAGACACTAATACGCAGACTTCACCGGCGGCTTGATGATCCGTACGATCGAGGCGTTTCTTTTGGTCAAAATTTTAAGAGTTTTGGAGGTAATTTCTTCAACAAAAACAAGCGGTATGTGGGTTGATCGGCTAAAACTGATTTCATCATTTGACACATTTCAGATGTTTAATCTATAAACAGTAGAATAAAACACCACCTCAATGTGTGAAATGCAAGCACTTTCTTTGCTGCTCGGAAGATTTTGGGTGTGTAAGACGAAGAAAAAGACGTCCGAGTGGATCAATGGACTGAAATGTTTCGTTTGGACTGGAATGTTTTAAGGAAGCTTGAAAAGCGTATGTTTATCATTTGTATGCTCCTGTCTAATGTTTCGCATCATCTGCCTTTTTACTTTAACGCGAGCGGGAGTCTGACTGTCCGCTGTTTGGGATTTGGGTTTTGGCAACCCCTTTTCCCATTCCTTTTTTTTTTTTTTTTTTTTTTTTTTTTCCTCTAACCTTTATAAAAAGGGCTCGGAAGAGTTTGGAGTCTCGTTTTAAACGGTTTTATTCGCTAATGTAAATGTTTGTTTTCTTCCCTGGTGTAATGCTGATGTTTCAGAGGGCAATGAGGCTTATATTACAGTTTTATAAACCACGTCAAGCCGAGAGGAAAGCTGTTGTTTTGTGCTGAAAGGTATGTTTGGGGTGTTCAAAGTGAGCGATGTAAACTCATGAGTGGGTGATGAGAACATTGTGTGTGGAGAAGCCAAAGAGATCTGCCTTGTAATCCCTTGTTGTCCTTTACCGATGGAGTGGGACTGCCCATTCTGTTTTTGTTTTTTTTTCTTCTGCTGTCGTTATCAGACAGAGAGACCCTAGAAATGTATGCAATGCTTGAAAAATTCTTCCCTTTTTCTCAGGAGATATAATAGATGTATTATTAAGAGCTCTGCAACAAAATGCAATTGAATGTGGCGGGAGTATCATTATATGTAAAATCATGTTTAATCGTTTCTGTTTTGTGCCACTCTTGGGGGACAGTGACTCTTGGCCGTCTCAGTCCAACAGCCGCCTCGGTCGGGTTGGGGGGCGTCATTTAATGCTTCCTGCTTCAGATGCTTTGCCAACAAAAGGCTAGAGGCACCACAGTGACCAGGCGACATGACCCGCTTATAACCGGTGGCGTATTTATGTTTGGGGCCATTTCAGTGTGGATTGAAATAATTGAATACAAAAAAAAAAAATAAAAAATTCACCCCGATTGTAAAACATAGGTCACAAGAGGAGATGTCACAAGAGTGAGTTGGGATTTGTTGGGTTTTTAACAGCACAGAGGTAGAAGTGGAAAAGCCCCAAATGTAAGCAGGAGTTTTGAGCTTCTCATTTTCCATTTTCCTTCATGTCGCTTACCTGTCAAAAGAAAATCATACCAAATAACCGACAGAGCACCGGATGCATTTCTTCTTATGGTACTGTGAACCTGAGCACCACAACCCGGAGCATTTGCACTTCCTGCTGTGCAGCGATGTCACTTCCCTTTTTGTGAATAAGCCCCGCCCCCCCTCATCCGTTATTTCCCATGCTCCAGCTGCTGCATGAGATCTCCAGAACCAGTGTGGGTGTCAACTTGAACCAAATAAAAATCTGAATGACAAGCATAAAGCTATCACCGTGCATTTTCTCCAACATCTCCAAGATTTTTCTGATGGGGGGGGGGGAAAATTTAAAAAATCGACTTTGCCGTAAATAAATACACAAATTCATGCTCTTTAGGGCACAAACTGCAAAAGCTATCTTTTTTTAATGAACTATAGATAATGTAATATATCATTTTAAGCGCATGTGTAGTTTCTTTTTGTTTTTTTGTTGTTGCTTTTTTTTATTATTATTATTTTTGTAAATACAGGATTACCGTAAAGAAAAAAACTACAGCTATTAGTTTTAACTCTAAATACAAATAACCATAAATAGAATGGCTTCCAGCTGATGCCCCTTTGTCACTCTTGTTAGGCTGTGATGCATTGTTAAAAGGTGTAGATTTTTTTTGTGTCACTTTTCATAATAAAGAGGGAAATAAGTGAAAATAATCTATATTAAAAAAAAAAACAGAAAATTGTGTGTAAAGCTGTATAAATCAAAATGCACATATTCAGAGCTGTGTTACATATATATTATATATATATTCTTTTATACCTATACATACATATACTTATACACACATATATATATATAAGTAGTATATATATGTGTATAGGTATATATATATATAAATACGTTAGAACCATGTCTGTAACTCAACTCTCCTGTCCACTCATGAGGTGACACCAGATCCACTGAGTGTAAGTGATCCCGCTTCTTTCTTTGTGTGGTACGCTCAGAGAATTTCCTAAAATCTGGCCTGCCCGGGACTTTCCCCAGTATCGAGTATCGGCCTACAATGCATGATGTTGTACTGGCTGCTTGCTGAGAATTGTGGAGCCTGCCTTGGTGAGAGGATTGCACTACCAGCATACCAAGCCCTACACACACACACATCGCCCCTCTCTCTTTTTTTTTTGTACGTGTGTGAACATGTCTTGCCCCTATAGTTTCCCCACTTTGTGTACACAGATGCAAAATGGCACACACACACACACGCACACACACACACCACAGACATGCATCCTCATTTTGGCCTTTTTGTAGACAACTGCTGTTTAACCAGATCACTTCAATTGCTTGCTGCAGCCCCTAACCCTTCATGTACCCCCACCCTTAACCTTAACACATTTGCTGCAGCTTAGAGTCGATCCTTGATTTTTGCTGACACTTTTAATAAGGTATATCTAACAATTTAAGGATTAGTTGTCTTAACTGTCTGTAATGTTTGTTTATGGTGCAATATCTCTTAACGGCACGTGCCTTTTTAGCTTTCTATCAATAAAATCCTGCAACGAAGATCACCCTCAGAGCGAATCAAAAGCGGAGCATGACGACATGCTGAGTTCGAAGCGAACTGAAAACTCACCACCTATAGTGTAGACTGTCTGGACTAACATCGTGTAGAGTCTTGTAGGAAGTGCTCTCTCTCTCTCTGTGTTTTGTTGTGTTGCTGGCTCGTCAGCCGGGGAGACAACAGCTTGCCTTCTGTTTTACACTTCTGTTTTCTTTTCTTCTTTTTTCTTTTTTTTTTCCCAGAGGTTGGTTTATCAATCAGTATATGAGGCCATTGTTTTGTAGCATGACTGAGATGAATTTCTTCTCTTTGAAAATAGCTTAACTAAAAAGAAAAAAAAGAACAACTTTTGACTGTCATTTCTTTCCACTGTTACAGTCAAGAAAGAGGGTATATGTTGCACACCACATGGGACAATTAAGTGAGAAATCGGTGAAAGAATGTCTTCATTTGAGCACGAACCTATTTCCAAACAATAAAGCAGCCTTCCAGTTATCTGTGTGGCCCGTGTCGTTTTTGGGTGTAAAAATCTTCCTTCTTTGGGATTTTATGTGATAGAGAAGCAGTAGTGCATCATTGTGAAGTGGAAGGAAAATAATGTTTTTTTTATTTTTAACAAAAATATTAAAGGAAACCACCTAACTGAGTCAGTTGATCATGACTCAGATTACACCAATTCCCCGAAGAACATCCTCCATCTCTGAATGGCCCCCTTACATAAACACACAGTCTACCTCTGCACTTCTCAATTGCATTGAGTTAAGTATTCAGTCCACTTAACTCAATGCAATTAAAGATTTCAAATTAATCTCAACATAATTCCAGAATTTGAAGGTTTGTTAGAGAACATTAGAGAGCAAACATCATGAAGATCAAAGAACCCCGCAGACAGGTCAGAGATGAAGCTGCGGAGAAGTTTAAAGCAGAAATATGTCATAAAACAATAAACCAAAATTCTGAACATACCCGACGTTCAGGATGAAAGAGTTGCGTCATACTCTTTCATCCAAAAATGGAAAGAGTATGACACAACTTGAAACCTAAACTGACAGCCTGCTATGATGGATATTGATGAGAGAGTCAGTCAAAAGATGTAACCATACAGTCAGAGCTATACACATAGGAATGAAGGGTCCAGTCAAAGCCCACACCTTAATTCATTTCAAATCTTCTGGGAAAACCTGAAAATTTATGCTCACAAATGCTCTCCATCCAATCTGACTGAGCTTGAGCTATTTTGGCTAACAGACTCTGACTAGGCGAAACTGGAACAAACATGTAGCAACAGCTGGAGCAAATGCATTGAACACCACACTTTTCAGATTCTTGTGTGCCAAAACTAAAAAAAGTTCCTTACACATCACAACAATTAAGGATAAATATATATATGTATATATTTTTTTTTTAATAGTTTGTGCTTTTAACATAAAGTGTGAGATCAAGAGGAATGATTCCTTTTGAAAAGGCCCTTCAGCTTTATGTGTTCAGGCACATCACAATGCTAAAACGGCAGGTGTCTGTGTCTGTGTGTGTGTGTGTGTGTGTGTGTGTGTGTGTGTGTGTGTGTGTGTGTGTGTGCGTGCGCGCGTGTGTGTGCATGGGTGTCTCTCCCCACCTTGTGCTGTGTGTTTGTGTGGAGCACTGAATGAGGGAGCAGTGCGAAGGGGGTAAGCAGAGAGGGAGAGGGAGAGCACTGCAGTGCAGATAGATGAATGCAGTGGCCTGGGCTGAGTCAGCAGCATGTTCCCAACAGGCTCAGACTGTACAGTGCACTGTAAAGCACCTACTTACCCACAGCGAGCAAATCAGAGGGAGAGGCAGCCACTTCAGGGAGAAGGAACGTAAATGAGAACAATGAACACAGGCTCATGTGGTCAAAAGCAAGTGCTCTGCTAAGGGTTTAACCTTCAGCTGCCCGTTACCAATGATCCAGCTGTTTGATTCGACTCACACCGCATCATTAAAGAGTCACGTAAAAATGAATTTATTTCTTTGATAATTGCATAAATCTGTTGTTTTTCTTTATATGCATATCTACTCTAAACCATTCTGGTTTTATTTCTGTCCTTGGTAAGGTTCTGTCTTTTTAAAAACCTATCTGAATGTAGGACAGAGGTATAGGCCATCGATTAAGTGGGTCGTTGGTGAGATCTGCTGGGCAGCAGATCTGAGAAGTGCAGAGGTAGACTGTATGTTTATGTAAGGGGGCCATTCAGAGATGGAGGATGTTCTTCGGGGAATTGGTGTAATCTGAGTCATGATCAACTGACTCAGTTAGGTGGTTTCCTTTAAATAAGCACAAAACAGCCATTTTCCTTTCTGACCAAAGTCTCTCCCTGCGTGCAACAGAGGAGCATGGCTTCTGTCTTCATGTACAGTATGTTACACATTACAAAATACAGAGCAAAAATAAGCAAATACTTTTATGAATTTATTGATTTTTTTAAAGTCTCTACAATGTGATCACAAAGTTAGTCAGATCCTGTCCCGTCTGAATTTCGCATTTTATCCCACCTCTAGGGATATTTGTAGATATTTGTTCCATTAATTATGACAAAATATGCCATATTAGTTTTTTAATTAATTTGTATTTCTACAGCTTAACTGTTCAAACTGCAACTCTGCTGTAGACTGCTTTATTACGTCTGCGGTAATAAAGCAGATATATTAATAAACCGGTTATTTCTTACAGCTCTCTACCGCCCTCTAGTGAACTACAAGGAACTAAGTCACTAAAAAACACCTACATGCAGTACTGTGTCGAAGTATTTGTCCCCTTCTGATGTTGCAGATCATCAAACACATTTTGATATTTGACAGCAATAACTTGAGTAAACACGAATGCTGTTTTTAAATGATAAAGTAACTTATTAACCGATTCTTTCACCCTTGCAAGCAACAACTGCCGTCAAATTTTTTGTCAAAACGTGCGATGAGTCTCTTACGTAACGTTTGGCTTCATTCTTTTTTGCAGAATGGTTTTGATTCATTCTTCTTCTTGATCTTTCTGGGTAGTTTGAGTTTAAAGTCACAAACTTATGGCAGGTTTTCTCCCGAAGGATTTTCTGTTTGGCATCTAAATCCTGAAGCAACAAATCAATAGATGTTACCGACTCCGTGTTTGACGTCCTCTTCTGAAAAGGTTTGTTTCTTCTATGCAAGAAGAAACGATGAAAATTCAGTATTTATTTTGAGTCTTGGGATCAGTTTGGTTTCTTGTTAAGCCTCTGCTTGGATCTAAACCATTCCTATGAGTCTATCTCTGACTGTATAGTTGCATCTTTTAGCTGACTCTCTCATCGATCTTAGGAGGCTGTCAGTTTAGGTTTCAAGTTGTGTCATACTCTTTCCATTTTTGGATGAAAGAGTATGACACAGCTCTTTGATCCTGAATGTAGGATATGTTCAGAATTTTGGTTTATTGTTTTATGACATATTTCTGCTTTAAATTTCTCCTCAGCTTCATCCCTGACCTGTTCTTTTTGGACATCAGTGTTTTTTGTTTTTTTGCCTTAGACATCTTCACGGATGACGTTTCCGGTTGCTGTTTTATTGTTGACTTTGAGGCAGGGAGGATTGGCGATGATTTTGATGTTGTTTTGGGTTATTTTATAACCTTCTGGATAAGTCATCAATGTGCTCTTTTGTTCAAAGGTTCACCTCTGTTGTTTTCTCCATTTGTAAATATTGTCTTTCACTGTGGATCACTGGAGTCCCACAGTTTCTATTTATGTAGAATAAGGGGGACAGTCTACTTCTTCACATGGAGCCATTTGGAAAACTTTCTTTTTTCTTTGGTGTATCTCCTTGAATGTTCACTCCAAGTTGTCATGACTGCATTATGTATAATTAATATAATGTCAGCTTCCTCATGCCAAACTACTCCTGAACCAGAGACATCGGTGTCTTACTGGGACTGAGTAGAAAGAGTGGTACCGCTGCTCTGTGGTCCAAAGTCCTCTTTTCAGATGAAAGCAAAGTTCGGATGTAATTTGGAAATCAAGATCCCAGAGTCTGGAGGAAGAGCGGAGAGTAAGACATTTTACCTCCTTTTGCATGAATTACTGCTAATTAAACAGTGATTTATGCAAAAGTAAGCCTGAGTCTATAAACATGAACATACTTTTCATACAATATCTTTTTTCATTTGATCTTATGTGTTATTCTAAGTTGTAGAGACGCTGAATTATGGCCTTTAATCATCCGCAAGACGTAATTATCAAAACGACTGAAATAAAGGCTTGACATATTTCCCCCCATGTGACTCTATATAATATGTAAGTTTTACTTTCTGAAATGTGTGAAAAAATATTCAAATTAATATTTTTTAAATGTACCTGTATAATTGCATACAATCCAGCTTACAAAACCGAGACTTCTTCATCCGCCCTATCCAAACCTGAGTAAAACATCTAACTTTGAAGAAAGAAAATATTTCTCTCTATGGAAAATATAAATTATTTTAGTAGTCCTGACTGACAGACGGATGGGAGAAAGGCTTATGAATATTTTGACACTGTGCATGTCAGCATTGAAGTTCCATCATGTGAGTTGTAGAAGAAAATAACAGATGAATTAGTGAGTTTTTCAGAAGTATTGGTATTATTTAAACTGACAATTACAGTAGCTATCGAAATTGTTAGCTATCAAGTTGTGCTAACTAGCTTGGTGATTAGTTAGATAAAAAAAAAAGTCAAGGAAGAGAAACACTGTAAAATCCTTTTATATTACAAAATAAGTTGTATGAATGAACCAAACCCCTTGTTGTTTTCAAAGACAAAAGACAAAGAAAGTCGAGCATGATTTGTTTTTGTGTATTTTCATCTGATAGAACATGACAGAACAGTCGGCAGTGAGGTAGACTTAAACAGGTCAACAGCAAAAAACATTGCTCTTTATGCAGGCATCTAAAAATGACATGAAATAAATACTTCCATGTACAATGTCTTAAAAGTGAGGTAGAAACAGTTTAGGAGAATGTACAAGAAATGATGACGAGTGAATTAAAAAGGTAACACAGAAGTTCAGATTTGACTCCACATCCTTCTCTGCATCAGAGAAGCAAAAAATGTGAAATAATGTGAAATATGTGAAATAATTGCTGCTGCGCATGTTTTATAGCATATTCTACTATAAAACATGCAGTTTGTGTGGCACTGAAGAGCGTACAGTCCTTTCAGCTAAGCGCTTCAAATTTATAAAAGTCTAGTCAAGTTGCTTTCATCCGTTCTTAACATCTGTATTTTTTTCTTAGAAATAGTACAGAGCCTTTGTTTAAGGAGGATTTGTTTGCGACATTTTAACACAAGTTTGGTTTTTAAAAAACGGGCGAGTTTCTACGCTTGCGTTTATTTTGATGTCTGAGTGTTTAAGGAGAAAGCAAGATAATATCACCAAATAACTTCCAGAGCAACATCTTCTCAAACATTTTTTTTATGGATTTTGATTCAGATTTGGAAAAAAAAATTACAGTGAACTGCTGACTTTTAATTA